TGTGTTTTTTGGGACCTGGTCTGAAGCTGGCTCCATTTTGAATAAAGCTGTTGCAAGCGATGTGTGCTGGTGTTTGCTCCCTGCTTGCTCTGGTTAGTGAGTAACAGGATCCATGAGCAACTGGATTGTCATCTCCCTAGTCGTTGGGCTCCGCATGGAGTCGGGGATCTAACAGCTGTCTGATGCAAAATGTCTGGATAGTCAGCCACACTGGCTATGCATCCAGAGACAGAGTACCTCTGGATGTGCAAATACCAAAAATACACTGGATGTCCAAAAAGGCCACTTAGGCGAGCAGGAAAAAAGAATATGCCAAGGCCTAGGACTAAGCAGGCCAGCTATTGCAACGCTTACACAATGCTCTCTGCAGCACAAGCAGTTATTGCATGGACAGGCAAAAGCATGGACAAGGGATGAGGAGGATGTTAAAAAGCTGTCTACTAAGTTCCAGTTATTCAAAGTGTTCAACAACAGGGAATCCCCAGAGCTGGTGTGCCTCGCTACTGGTGACACTCCCCAAGAACTAATTATACCAGACGTGCTGAATGCACAGCAGTTAGGACAAAACATCTTAGAGACATTTGTTGCTGATTGACTTGTGCGTAAAACTGTCATCGTACGTGCACCAACCTCAAAGTTAAAAACTTTTGCTTCCATATATACAGTACAGTTAGCAACAGAAAAACACAGAACAGCAGACCTCAGTCATCAGAGCTGATTGTGAACTTTTCAGACACCTACTTGTATCTATGGATGTCGATCACCTCCTGAGGCAAGAACTCTCTACTGTACTATCACTGGCTACAACAAACGGAAACTTGAGACCAGCAAACAAAGCTTAACTACTCCCCATTTTGGAAGAAAATATTTTGTAGCCAAGTTTGAAAGAAGCCCTGACTCCAACATGTGTAGTGATTGATGGTGTGGCTGTGGCTCAGGCCATGGGAAAACCCAAGGATGCAATTGTCAGAACCAAGAAGTTAGATGCCTATGGCACAGTGGAAAATTCCATTGTTTTGATACATGTGCCACAGTGAAATCCCCTGCTGTCAATCATTAAAGTAGGTCACCAGCAAATAAGTAGGTCGCAGAGGGAAAACTCCGCTATGTAACTATATGCCACAAGAATGGAAAATTACAAGCTTAGAAAAAGTTCCCGCCAACTGCATGCAAATACACACACCACAATTGGCCGGTTCTAAATTATTTGTATTGGTGACTAGCGATTGGCTTGTTAGTCATATAAAAGGTAAAGCAGTTTCCGTCCAGGTTTGGAGAACTCCTGATATTCCTCCAGGTTGGAGAGCGCATTTGTTCTTCAGGTTGGAGCACTCCGCACACACCTCGGAGAAGGAGAACTCAGAGAGCGAGTTCGGAGAGCTCGATAACTCCGTACGTATCTCTGAAAGAACCCAGCGGACTGATCACCCGCTGGGGACTCCCTGTCACTGACCTACCCAACGTACCCCCACTTCATCTTGCATGCTTGAAGCTGGTCACGGACGTCTCATCTCCCGGAAAGCTTTCTCGTTCGGTTTGCAACTGTAATCAAAGTCAATTTCCATCCTGCACTGTGATCACCATCAGCGTAAGTAAAGAAATCTTTTCAACCATTACGCTTTCGTGCCTAGTTCCTCTCCGTCTGTCAACAGTACCCACCCACCGGTTCGGGGCTACCGGCCACAGCCTCTGGCCTTACCACTTGACCGCCACATGGCGACGAGGATGGGATGCGGGGAAGACACGATGGAGATGGAACTAGTTAAGAACTGCCCATGGCGCAGTGGGGACCGCCTAATGTCTGACTTGGACGACCTATGGGCGCACATTGCCTATCATCAGGCAAGCGGGAGGAGTTCGGCCCCGGTCGCGGGTTACTTCTTCCTCAAGGGAAAAGAGGGAGTCGGAAAGGAGTGGGCCGCTCAAATGGGCCCAAGTTCCTTCGGGTGCGTCATGTGCGGAAAAGGGGTCGTGTACCGACCGCGGGACAAAATAGAAACGCTGTCCCTGGCACGGGTGAAAGCAAAGGGCACAGAGGATCCGAACCCTGCCAAAGAGTTTGCCCGTTGCATTCGGTACGCACGGGAAGGTGGGGAAGGAACATCCCCGGACAGGTTCAACTGTCCGACCCTGGCGCCCCAGTCGCGCGGTCACGAGCTGCTCACTCAGCTCCGGGAGAATTTGGAAGTGATGGGCCGCACCGCGACCAAGTGGTCGGGACCTAAGTGGGACAAGGGGAAGATGATTAATGTACTGTTCTGCTCAATGTCACTCGTGCTGCGAGAAAATGCAAACTTGGAGACTCAGTTAGCTACGGTCAGCAAGACCGCCGCGGAACTGGCAGCACGCCAAAGCCCTCTGCTGCCACCAGACAATGGCGCCTAGAAAAAAATGAGCCACCCGGAGCACAAGGGCGGAGCCATAGAAGAACAGGCGGGACTCCAACCAGCGACCCCGCCCCAGGAGGTGACATCACTCCCAACGGCCCCACCTCCTTATCACGGGGAGGAAGCAACCAGCAGAAAATTGTATCCAACCCTCCCACTAGATACAGTCACTATTTCAGCAGCCGCTCACCCTGTAGCGATAACGAAACAATTAACCAACCTGCAGCGTGCAACCACCACCACCACCACCTATCGCACTCGCAACAGGACTGAGCTACAGGAATTATGTAGGGAATCGAAAATGAAACCTACCGAGACACTAGGCATTTGGCTGGGTCGTCTAGTAGTGGAATACGGATCAGAACTGTTAGATCTAGAAGAGGCCAGCTTCTTAACACGTCAAGCCTCGTGGAGTGGATGACATGCTACTGATTTAGAACTGGTAGTAGATAATAACAACTGGAATATTCCACTCCCGTCCCTGTTTGAGGGACAGATTAAGAATAAGTCCCACACATGGCATGACGGAAGACCAGGAAAAGCCTCTGCAGAACAACTTTTACTGGCAATAATAGGGGTGTCTTATTGTTCCTGGAATCCACGGGTACACCAGTTGGGGTTAACACCAGCCCAACAAAGAGGGAACTGGCCTCACCGGTTCCTACGAAATCCCGGAACGGTCCCGACTACCCTTGACGTCATCGAAGCATGCGTGGAGGTTTATGGAGGAGAGGACGCCATCACCCTTCGCCTCCTCCTCACCCCATTAGCTACACAGCCAGCTAGGAATATTTTAAGTCAACTTCCACGGCTGCAAGCCCTCGTGAAATCAGCAACCGCAAACTCAGCCGTCGCCTCAAGCCATCTTACTGCGTACCCAGTTGAATATCAAAGGCCAAGAACTCGTCAATTCGACCCACGGAAGGAATCGATACCACCACCCCAAAGGACACCGGAGGAAAGAGCAATGTTTGGATTCCTCCTAAGCCGCACTAACCTTACTAAACAACAACTACGTGCCATAGGAGATATGGGGCAACAGCAGCTAGCACGTGAAATGGGCTTTCAATACGTCGAGAAGCAAAAAAACGAATAGCTGCCGCCAGTCAGGCCGGCGGCGATACCTTTGGACCTGACCCCACAGATCTTCGCCCGTATACTAAGCTGACCGTTTACAACCCTACTGACCCAACAATACAACGAGAAGTCTCCTTTCTCCTTGATACAGGGGCTCAAGTCAATGTTATAACTCCATCGACGCCCCATACGAAAACCACGAAGGTTATCATGGTACAAGGACTGAATGCCACGGCGACCACTGCAAAAATAAAGTTCTGGGTGATCAACCATCGAAAGCCACTCGAAGCAGTAATAGGAAGCATTAACATCTTGGGAATTCCCGGCATCAAGACGTTTCAACTAAAAGAACAGATACTGCAGGCCCTACCAATTTTTATAGCCGAGTCCAACTGGCATCGACCCACATTATGTAACACAAACCATATGGCGCTACAAACCGATCCAGACCAAGGGTCCCCTGAAGGGGGCATTGGCGGATCTTCTTCGACGCCTCGAACAACAGGGATGTATCCAACCAGTTACAGCCAGCACTCGCCTTTCTCCAGGATGGGGAATAGCAAAACCAGGAAAGCCCGACGAGCTCCGATTGGTAGTAGATTATCGTGAAGCCAACAAGCGGTGTCTACCTCTTATGCAACCAAATCCTCTTACACTGCCTCAATGCCTATACAAAATGGCACAATTTCAAAAAGAATCGTGGCTGGGAACAACCTTGGATCTTAAGGACATGTTTTTCTCCATCCCAATTAATGACACCGAGGGAATACTGAACACGTGCGTCAATGGTACCATGTACAAATGGACAGTCTGCCCGCAGGGGTACCGCAATGCACCTGCGTTGGCCACCAGAGCCATGAACGACACGTTGACTGAATTTCGTTCTTCCCATACTCTGCCTAGCCAAAACCAACTGAGAATTTGGAGTTATGTCGATGACATCGCTATCATGGGACGCAACCAACAAGAGGTAACCCAAGTCACTAATGACCTGATCTCCCATCTCGGCAGAAAAGGATGGACAGGCAATGTGAAGAAATCTAAATTACAGCCCACAGCTGACATCACATTTCTAGGTACCAAATTCATTGGGGAAACAAGGTTCGGTGTAACCCACGGGAGCCCGGACACCAGCCCATTAGAGGGACCGTTACCCACAGACCAAAAGCAGCTTCAACAATTGCTCGGGTATCTAAACTGGTACCGGCATCACATTATGCCAACCCATTTGCCAGTACGTGCAAGACTCCAACGTCAACTGTGCAACAAGTCCCAAAGATTAACACCGTGGACTAAAAGGGATACAAAAGACCTTCATCAGCTCCTCACGGCTAGTAAGACGACGCCACTTCATGCATTTGACTTTGCCAACTCGATGACTGTGACTCTGGGATACACGACCAGTCACGGATGGGCCACAGCCCATAATTCTCAAGGCGAGCCAACATATACCTCTCACCGAACTCTCCAAGCAGCCCAGCACAGATATGGAAGTATCGGAAAAATGCTAATGGTAGGACAACTAGTAGAGTTATTGTCTCACGGACACGGAATCCTTCGAGCACCTGGAGTCACTCTTCTACCCTTGCTGAGCGCCGAAACGCCAGACCCGCAGTTCCAAGGAGAACCATCTACCTGGAACACGCTAGTACTTAACCACCATTATCACTGGCACTGCTGGAAGTGTTAAGATCTAGCACCCAATCCAGATGCAAGGGAAGGCATCCCACCTATCCTCTACGGAACAACGGCTCCTGCTTGGATGGCATCTGACGGTACCACTCGGTGAGATGGAGGCTACGGACTCTATTGTAAGCCCTGCCACGACACTAAACTTTACGTGGGACACAGCTCGGCTCGGAAGAACGAGCTATTAGGATTCAAGGAAGTAATACAACACTGTCTCCAGCACCACGACGGAACACTTCTTACTCCCGTAATTGCAATTGATTCCCAATACATCTACAAGATTGTTACTGGTATGGGAGAACCGACACAGGTAACTTAGGCATCTGGCAAGACATCTTCGATATGTTGTCTACATTCACTATTCTCCCTCTAATTAAACATACTAGGTTGCATAGACCTGAAACTGACTTAGTACACGAGGTCATTGATAAATTATTAGAAGATCCCCTTCGCACAGATGTCGTCTTGACTGCCGAAGAAAGTGACCAAGAGACCGAGGTAGATCCAATTTTGGCCTGGCTGCACGACCATTGGGGACACCCCGGGCCAAGAACTTGTCACACCCGCTGGCGGTTAACTACGAGTAGCCTTACTTCCTATGGGTCAAGAACTGACTGGGAACGGGTAGCCCATGCATGTGAACCCTGTGCCAAGGAAAAGTGCCACCCAACGAAACATCAAATCGGAGCATTAGACCCGCTCCAATCCGCACCAGGAAAAGTCTGGCAAGTAGACCTATTAAGACCCCTACCCGGCGCAAAACCGCCAAATAAAGGACTTGTCATTGTTGATCTTGGTACCCGGAAGCTTCTAGTAATCCCATTGCGGAAAAGTCACGCTGTGGCAGTAATAGCGGCACTAACAACAGCATTTGCAGCCTGGAAGACCCCCAACACAATTCATTCAGATGGGGGGCCGACTTTCAACTCCGTTGCACTCGACAAATTTGCACGCCTGCACAACATCGCTTGGCATCTACACCTCCCATACCACCCCCAATCCAACGGAGTAGTGGAGAGGCACATCGGCCTCTACAAAGAACGACTGCGCCTAAAGGCAAGCGGTACCTATAAACATTGGACAAAAGTGAACCATGATGTCCTCATCTCGCTAAATGCGGACAAAACTCTATGGGATAGATCCATCCCGCGACAACCAGAACCGTGGAACCCAAAATTCACGCCAAGTGAGCTCGTGTGGATCACCATCCCACATCCGCGTCAATCACATCCACAAGTGTACGAGGGAAAAATCGTCCAGGCGGAACCATATCCGAACACCTATACTGTGTGCTTTGAAGAAGACGGGAAGCAAGAACAAATCCTTGCCCACCATAATTGGTTATCCCGCCGTTCGCAACTCCATACAGACACTGTAGCATAAGCAAATTTATTGCTCAAGAATTTTTCTTCGCAGGTTCAAAGCCCAAGATGACAACAGAGAGCCACCACGGACCCCAGGGCCGACGTGCAATATCACCATGCCGAGACCCAGAGCGCGCGATGGCAACAGACGCCGAGGAAGAGAGAGAGCAATACCTGGTGTCATGACCCAAAAGGCAT